TCTCATGCAGGAGAAAGAGCTACAAATGAAACATTGGTCTTCCTTCAGAAGAACATGGTAAAACTTTCAAAAATGTCCTTCCCGAAAATAAAAGTTCGGAATACTTTTCCTAGTTTTCTATGAGGCAAGGACTTCATAAAGATTCTTACATCTATGTCACTGCTCCTAAATCTGAATCTTCTTCATTCTTTGAGGAATTTTGGTCGCATGAAAGACAATTTATGTGTGCACAGATTATTTAGTTTTTCAAAAGTCGAGTCTTCTTGGTGGATGATAACTGAACATTGAGACTGCTGTAACAAGATTTTCACAAAAAGAGAAATGCTATCTCGATGCAAGCTTTCAATAGGTAAATGTAGGGATCAGAGAATTTTATTCGAAAATGCAAGAATGCGTAAATTTAGCGACATTATTAAGATGGGTAGTAGAAAACCTAAATCTTTGAACAATTTCTATCTCAATACAACCATTCCAACAATAAAACAATGAAATTTTATCTGAATCCAAAACTGAACAAAAATTTTGAGAACACTCTATCAGGATCTTGTTTCTCTCAAAATGTTCTTCGCGTCGATCTGTCTGGAATCTTGATATCATCATTTTCTAGATCATGAATGGAAATCTGCTGAAACAATCCTCAAAACATTAGCATAAAAGATAGTGGCGAGATTTGATTGAAAAATTTTCCGTAGTTACGAAAAGCTTTTCTCTAGCACTATCTTATCAGAAAGTTTGTATGCATGCTAAACAGACTAAACTTCGCAGGAACTTACAAACGGATGTCTCAGATGTAATGCAGCTTACTGTTAAAGTACTGAGAATTCGAATGCTAGTCTTTGCGGAGTTCTGCAAAGGAGAACATAGAGATCTGTAGATTTTCAACGCCGTTTGCAAACCGTCCATCTTTATAAAATAGCCAGGAGAGTTCTACAAAGTCATTAAGAACTACGACAGTTCCAGCTCCGATGAAGATCAACTTCAGAAATTCGGTTAGTAAGTCATCATCAAGAATGTTTAAGGTATTGTGAAAATACTAAAGATGCAGTCGAGGATACTGATTTGCTGTTGAGAAATGATACAAGCATCACTAGAAATGCTACCGATATCATCAACAACGCTACACGCACGATGTAGCATTCTAAACCAATCCACAGAGTTAATAAATGTATTGTGAGCACTGCTACAGCATTGCCGTGGTTATGAAAGTGGTCCCCAGAAGTGCTAAAGATATTGTTAGTGGAACTGAAGCAAATTACCAGGAATACTAAAAGCATTGTGAGGGATGCTGAAGTCAATGTCAGTAATCCTACAGACATAGTCAAAAATGGTACTGACGGTCTCCGGAATGCTAAAAAAGTTCAGAGCGATGCTACGGGAGTTCTTAGGAATGTCATACCTTTTCTAAACTATGCTAAGGAGATACTCGGCGATACTTGAGGTATTGTGAGGTTTGCTTAAGGTCTCCTGCAAAAATCGATCTCAGCCCAGGTACATTCAAATGACATGAAATTTTCAGAATATATTGGAGGTTCTAGTGGAGAGGCTATGGTAAAATTTTCAGCTCAATAGCATGACGTTTGGCTGAGATATTCACCAAACAATGGTCAAAAACTAGCACATTTGGCAAATGAAATTTCTCCGTATAGATTAGATTCATTCTATACATTTAGTATTTGTTTGTTTGAAAGTGCATGTCAGGGTGGAGTGCCTATCAGAG